TTTTTTTTTTTTGTGACAGAGTCTCATGCTATAACCCTGGGTAGAGGGCTGTGGTGTCATAGCTCACAGCAACCTCCAACTCCTGGGCTTAAGCAATCCTCCTGCCTCAGTTTTTTCATTTTCAGTAGAGATGGGGTCTTGCTTTTGCTAAGGCTGAACTCAGTGAGCTCAATGAATCCACCTGCCTCGGCCTCCCAGAGTGCTAGGATTATAGGTGTGAGGCACTGCACCTGGCCTCTTCTTTTTTTTTGAGACAGAGTCTCATTGTCACCTTGGGTAGAGGGCTGTGGCATCACAGCTCACAGCAAACTCAAACTTGTGGGCTCAAGCAGTCTTCTTGCCTCAGCCTCCTGAGTAGGTGGGACTACAGGAGCCTACCACAATGCCTGGCTATTTTTTTTTATTTTTAGTAGAGATGTTGCTCTTGCTCAGGCTGGTCTTGAATTCCTGAGCTCAAACAATCAACCCACCTCAGCCTCCCAGGGTGCTGGTATTATAGGCATGAGCAATTATACCTGGCCCAAAAGTAATTTCTTAAATTACTTGTATTTAGTACATATCACATTTTCAGTCTCAAAAATGTCTTGTCTTTACGGTTCATTTGTTCAAATTGGGATTCAGATAAGGCTCATGTTAGCTTTTGGTTGTTTCTGTTAAATCTCACTTTATCTGAAAACATCTTCTTTTTTTTGAATGTTACTCATCTTCGAAGAAACTAGGTTATTTGTAGTGTGGAATGTCATATTTTGAATTAGTTTGCTGCTGCTGCTTCTTGTTATTTAACTCTTTAACCCCTGAATGTCTACTCTAAACTAGAAGTTAGGGGTGTGTGTGTGCGTATACACACTGGTTAGATACAGGTTACATAGATGTGATGTCCTTTTTTTCCCCTTGAGACAGAGTCTCACTGTGTTGTCAGGCTAGAGTATCCTGGTGTCAGCCCAGCTCAGTGCAACCTCAAATTCCTAGGCTTAAGTGATTCTCCTGCCTCAGCCTCCTGAATAGCTGGTACTACAGGCACACACCACCACATTTGGCTAATTTTTCTATTGTTAGTAGAGATCAGGTCTCGCTTTGTATTAGGCTAGTCTCGAATTGTTGAGCTCAAGTGATCCTCTTGCCTCTGCTTCCTGGAATGGAATGCTGGGATTGTAGCACTCCTGGCTTTTTTTTCGTTCTTTAAAAGCAAAAGGGCGGCACCTGTAGCTCAGTGGTAGGGTGCAGGCCACATACACGGAGGCTAGCAGGTTCGAACCCAGCCTGGGCCAGCTAAAACAACAATGACAACTGCAACAACAAAAAAATAAGCAGGCATTGTGGTGGGTGCCTGTAGTCCCAGGTACTTGGGAGGCTTAAGCCTAAGAATTTGAGGTTGCTATGACACTCTACCCAGGGCTATACCTTGAGACTCTGTCTCAAAAAAAAAAAAGAAAATAAATAAATAAAAATAAAAATAAATAAAAGTAAGAATACTTCATTGATGGTGATGTGCTTTTTTTTTTAATGTCATGTAACATCAGAGGGGAGGTGCATGATAGATGTTCATCCTAATTTTAGTGATGCTAAAAATAAAATTGATCAGTCAGTTCAGATGATAACTGCCTGGTTATTTGACTGTAAAGTTCCCCATCAACTTTTTTCCTTATCCTAGAGTTTAAGAATTTCCCCAGAAAATAGTTTAAGAATATCGTATTCTGGAATAGCTCTGGAATGTGTTTGAAGTTCTGCCTCTACTATGTTCAAATTTACCACTAAATCTGTTCATATATAAAATAGAGGCAGTAACACTGCACGAGGTTATTATTTCAGTTTAAATGAGATAATACAAGTAAAAGTCTTAACACTAAGCAGATCCTTAAAATTCTGTGGCAGAATTTTAAATGTTAGGCTTCCAACCATTTATTTTGCAGAGTAACCTTGTGTATTTACTGCCTTTATCCTTGAGCTGTCTCAAGTTTTATGGTGGGTAAGGGATATTTGTAACAGTGATTTGCATTGAAGTCATGTCTGCATGGTTTTGTACAGTGTGCTTCTGATTAATATGTAGAAATATGATGAGAATTACACTGATACCAGTTTTCTACTTAAATATATATGATAATACTAAGGCCTGTCGGCCTGTTGTGTTTGTCTTACCAACTTGTGTTGGTTTGTATATACCGTATGCAGTAGGTTAGCCTATACATTTTCTTTAAGTTTTTCTGTGAACACCCATAAAAATGATTTTGTTCCCTGACTCCTTTCTTTTCTTTTTTTTCTACCATAAAAATTTATTTGAACCCTTGATAGGTATAAGGTATATATTTAGCATAAGTATATAATTGCCTTGAGAGCTAGTTTACTGGGGTGGGGGGAGAAGATATATATTAACTTAAATTATTTTAATATGAGGTACCATTAGATTGATAAATTCTTTGTCTTCTCACTCTACATTTTAATAATGTTTTCTTTTAACTACCATAGAATCAAAAATCTGATTATATCATAGTTATACTGAAATTACTATTGTCTTATAGTGAGAGTACAAATGTAAGTTTTGTATAACAAAATACAAAATACATTCATCGACATCTCATTTCATATTTATCATAACCTTATGAATTAAGTAGTACAGTTTTATACACGTGCTAGTTCAAATTTGCCATTTCTTTTTTTTTAATTAATCATAGCTGTGTTTAGATAGCAACAGCTACATTTCTATTGTCTCTTTTGTTCTTTCCTTTTTCTAACTAGACTTACCTGCATTAGTTATTGACATGAAATTGAACATATCAAAGTAGGAAAAAAGCTTCCTGAAATCTAGAATAAGGTTTTGGTTAGGAAAAGTGGGTCACACCTATAGTTCTAGCATACTAGGAGGCCAACGCAGGGGGATCCTTGAGCTTAGGACTTTAAGACCGTCCTGAGCAAAGTGAGACCCTATCTCTACTAAAAAAATAAAATAAAATAAAATAAAATAGAAAAATTAACTGGTCATTGTGGTGGGTGCCTGTAGTCTCAGCTACGCAGGAGGCTGATGCAGGAGGATTGCTTGAGCCCAGGAGTTTGACTGTGAGCTAGGCTGACTCATGGCACGCTACCCTGGGAAACCCAGTGAGACTGTGTTTCTAAATAAATAAATAAACAAATAAAATGTCAGCATTATTTAACCAAAAAATAGAAGATTCTGTATATTATCTGATTGCTCAGCCAAATAGAAAAGGAAAGAAATCTGTTCTTAATAGTAGAAAATAATCCATAGAAATTCATATAAACATAACAATTAGGTTCAATAAGAATATTAAACATAGTATTTTACTGGCAGTCATATACATGGTAAGTTGAGCCAGGTGATATTCAGTTCCTTCTTTTGAGCATGTAGGGACATGCTTTGTTTGCTACATGGGGTCCCTGGTCCTATTTCAGATTGAAAATAAGGCTGATGCCATTTGCTGTTTTCACATGTCTTTGCGTGCATTCTTCCCCTAATCTCATGTCATTTTCTAAAATTCTTAAATTAGATGTCATTGTTATTTTAACAGTAGTGCAGATAACATATGTAGAATTCTAGGACTTCTGTATGCTAAGTTTTTTATATGTAGTATCTCATTTAATTCTTACAGTAACTCTGAGTAGTAGTATTGCTACTCAAGGCCTTATATTATAAATCATAGATCTCTTTCTTCCTTTGCAACAGAATCGAATTCTCTGGGTTGATGAGAACAATCTGACAGCTCACGTAGAGGCTGGCATAACAGGACAAGAATTGGAAAGACAGGTATGTTATTAACATTTTCAATTCAAAACTACTGTGTCCCCTCTCTGAATGAAATACTTTGCACAATATGTTCATTCACTCCACAGATTTATTCAGTTTCCGTTGTGGATTAGGCATTGAGCTAGATGCTAAGGCCATGATAGTGAATAAGATACCATCCTCATGGGTGGCGCCTGTGGCTCAAAGCTCAAAGGAGTGGCCCCATATACCAGAGGTGGCAGGTTCAAACCCAGCCCTGGCCAAAAACCGCAAAAAAAAAAAAAAAAAAAAAAAAGATACCATCCTCTACCCTCAAGTGGCTTATGTTAGGACAGAAAGTTAGATCCATAGTGATTTAGGGTGAGAATTGCTATGTAGAAGCTAAATGCAGGGTATAATGGAACTAGGCAAGAAGAAATTGGACAAAGAAGGTATCACCGAGGACATGGCATTTAAAATGAGACTTTAGGATGAGTCCAAGTTAGCAAAAAAGGAGATGGGGGTGGGAAGAACTACCCAGCTAGAGAAAGGAGCAAGTGCCATTCAGGGTAGCTATTGATTTGGGGGCACTGTAGATAGCTGCATGTTTGAAGTATGGTGTGTATATATGGGAGAAAATGCAGTCTTGGTAATTGTGTACTGGGTAGGAGTGGGTATAGGTAGGAGTGGGTATAGTTGAGGGAAAAGATCAAGCCTGGAAAACAAGAGGAGGGTAGGTAGATCATAAAGGAACTCATAAAGTCCCTCGTAGAAGTTTGAACTTAACCCTTGTACTTAGATTGTTCTGGCTACTTAGTGGAGAATGGATGGGCCATGTGAAGATAGGTTAAGAGACTACAATTTAGGTAAGAACTGATAGCAGACAGCAATCTGCAATAATGTTGTAGGAGTGGAGCAAAATGGAACCAATTGAACGTTGAATTCTTACATCTTGATGATAAATTGCAGCAGCTGGGTGGGTAGACGTTGGTATCTACTGTTCATTGAACTTTTCAGTGTGTTATGTCATTGAGTTAGTGAAATTCTTAGAGTCCTTATGACACTCTTTTGCTGATCCTAATGAATTTTTTGAAAACTTTGTAGATTCTAAGCTGGTGATTGTGAACATAACTTGGTTCCTTCACCATCCTCAAACATGATCAAGATGACTTAGCTTTTGTAGCTCTGCTTTTGTAAACAAAAATTAGAAAGTCCAACTTGTTGGTGAGGTATTGACCACTTTAACTTCAGTTAGGGAGACTCTGCTCCCCTAAATCTTTCATAAGACATAAAGATGTGATTGTCAATCCTATATTATTGTCTTTTTTCTTCTTTCTTGAAAAGTTGATAGAAGTTGGTCTGCTTGTGACCAATTCTAGATGTCAGGCTTTAAAAAAAATTATTAAACTATTATCTTTATTTTTGATTTAATACAGTAAGATGCAAGGAACTGGAATAAAATTGAACCTGTTTGTTGAGGCAGTGTTAAAGATCTTCAATAAGTCAAAGTTTTATGTAAGTCAAGATAAGTAGATTTGTTAATTCTTATAGTTTATAATGAACTTCACTGAGCAGAATAATAGTATTTAATGAAAAAATCTCTAATAAATCTTGTATCCATTATACTGAATGAGACGTTATAAACACAGTGATTTTTTTGTGACAAAGAGGAGCCTTTTATATCATTAATTTTCTATCTTTGTTGTAGCATTCGATGTAGCATTTTAACCTTTCTAAGTTTCCTTTTTTTTTTATTTTAAAGGTTAGAATTAAGATTCAAGGAACATGTTTCCTTGAAATTTCAATGACATTTTCCTAGTCTAGGAAATTCTGATATTGTAGCTAGTAGTTCATTTCCTTAAATGCCAACATAGAATTTGTTTTTTTGCCTTCAGCAGGCTATAATGTGGTTTCTACAGCTGTTTCGATTCTAGTTCAAGTTCTTTCTCATTAAACTTCTGTGCAGGTCTTTCAGTTTCTACTTGAGCTGAGATAACCAACTTAAAATATTCTGCTTTTCCCTTCTAGAAAATTTAAAATGACACAAATTTAGTAGTTGGGTAACACAGATATTAATCTCTTTAACTTGTAAATGACATTGATATTAATACATGTAAAATTTAAGAGAAGTCACTAACATGTCAGTTACGGATTTGGGGAATTTTTTTTTTTTTTTTAGGTTTATTAAATCTTTGGCTACTTTATTATGTGTGACTCTAATATTGTTTTCTGCCTGGGGACAACATTGCTAATAATTTCATATTATCTTTGTTTCTGATAGCTTGTTATAAACTTCAAATACAGGTGTTAGCTATGTGACCTTGGACAAGTTATTAACCTTTAAGCCTCTGTTTCTTTATAAAATGAGCATAATAATTGCTACTTCATAAGGTTTTTGTTAAGACGAAGTAAGTTAGTAATATAAAGTACCTAGAACTTTGATTCAGTCCACTAACTTTCATCGAGCAGTATCTGCTTCATGCAGGCACAGCTGACTTTAAATTTGCATTCCTTTTATATGTTGAACACTCCCAAATTTATTTCATCATTCCAGACTTCTTTTTGAACTTTAGATTTATATCCACTGGCCTGGTTGGTATCTCCAGTTGGATATCTGATAGACCTTTCCAACTTAACATTTTAAAAACTGAATTTTTGGAAGGAAAATTTGCAATCATGGCTTCAAAATTTGCATATTTTATAGTCTTCTAATTCTTGGTTGATGGAATTCAATTCTTTGGCCCGACTGAGCCAAAATCTTACATTTTTTGTGTTTTTGATTTATAATATAATAGTTTCATTGAGGTATAATTATCATCTAATAAATTGTACTCATTTAATGTGTATGATTTGATGTTTTGACGTATGAATATAATCGTAAACCTTTATCATAGTCAAGATAACGAACATATCTCCCAACCCCAAAGTTTCTCCTCGCCTCTTTATAATATTCACACACTGTCAGCCACAACCTGTACTCAAGCCCCAGCAATCAGTGATCTGCTTTCTGTCACTGTAGATTTGTTTAAATTTCCTACAATTTTATTGAAGTGGAATCGTACTCTTTTTTTTTTTTATGGGAGTGGTCTGGCTTCTTTCAATAGGTATAATTATTTTTATATTCATCCATATTGTTGCATTTATCAATAGTTCATTTCTTTTTATTACTCAGTAGTATTCCATTGTGTAGATGGAATCATTTGTTTATCCAGTTACCTGCTGATAAACACTTGGATTATTTTCAGTTTGGGGCAACTACAAATAAAACTGCTTTCACCATTCATGTTAAGTCCTTATTAGAGATATATACTTTCATTTCCCTTGGTGAATATCTAGAAATGGAATTGATAGATCAAAGTGATTTACTTTTTATTTTACTTTTACCTTATATGTTTACCTGTTTTGAAAAGTTAACAGATTTTTTCCTAGAGCAATTGTATCATTTTATATTCCCACAGTACCGTATACGAATTCTACTTTCTCCATATTTGTAACCAGTTAGTCTTTTAATTTTTAATTTTAGGCATTCTAGTTGATGTATACTAATATAACTTTGTAGTTAATTTGCATTTCTTTAATAACTAGTGATGTTTAACTTCTTTTAATGTGCTTATTTGCCGTTCACATATCTTTATTGGTGAAGTTCTGTTTAAATTGTTGCCCAATTTTTAAATTGGGTTGTTTTCTTACTAAGTTTGAGAGTGCATTATGTATTCTGTATAGAAGTTTTTTTTCCAGATATATGCATTGCAAGTATTTTCTTTCAGTCTATGGCTTTTCAATCATTTCAGTGTCTTTTAAAGAACAAATGTTTTAAATTTTTATGATGTCCAGTATTTTTGACTCAAAACAAGGCCTGTTGGGATTTTGACTGAGATTGCATTAATTCCATATATTAATTTGGAAAGACTGACATCTTAACAATATTGATTCTTCGGACTTGACCCATGAACGTGGTATATTTTTAGTTTTTTTAGGTCAGTAATTTCTCTCAGCAGTGTACAGGTCTTTCTTCTTTTTAAAAGGAGGCTTGTCTATAAATATAACATTTTTTTGATGTTATTATAAATGGTATTTAAGAAAATTTTCTTATTAGTATATAGGAAAACAATTGAGTTTTGAATATTGATCTTATATGCTGCAACCTTGCTAAATTCACTAATCAGTTCTACAGGCTTTTTTGTAGATTATGATTATGTTGTTTGTGAATAAGGACAGATTTCTTTCTTTCTTTTTTTTTTTTTTTTGAGAAGAGTCTCACTATGTTGCCCTCAGTAAAGTGCTGTGGCTCACAGCTCCCAGCAACCTCAAACTCTTGGGCTTAAGCAATTCTCTTGCCTCCGCCTCCCAGTAGCTGGGACTATAGGTGCCCGCCACAATGCCTGGCTATTTTTTGTTGCAGTTGTCATTGTTGGTTAGCTGGCCCGGGCCAGGCTCAAACCCACCAGCCTTGATGTACATGGCTGGCGTCCTACTCACTGAGCTACAGGCGCTGACGCTGTTTCTTTCTTTCCAGTCCGGATGTCTCTTCTTTTCCTTACCTGACTCTGCTGGCCTGAACCTCTAACATAATTTTGAAAAGAAATGAGCATGGCCATCCTTTTCTGGTTCCTGATTTAGGAGAGATGTGTTTAGTCTTTCACCATTAAGTATATGTTAAATGTAGGTGGGTTTTTTTTTTTTTTTTTCAGTTGCCCTTTATCAAGATGAAGTCCCTTTCATATGTTAGTTTATGGAGGGTTTTTATTAGGATCAGAAGTTGGATTTGTCAAAAAATATGCTTTTTGGTGGAAGTGAGGTAATTTATTTGTGGTCTATTTTATTGTTTAATAAAGACTTATTGTGCTATAAATTTCCCCCTAACTGCTGCTTTGGGGACATCCTACATATTTTGATGTAGTTTTTCATTTTCTTTAATTTCAAAATATTTTCTACTTTTGATTTTTTCTCTGACCCATTGGTTACTTACAAGCGTGTAATTTAGTTTTCAGTTATTTGGAGATTTTCCTAGACATTTTTCTATTATTGATTCTGCATTAATTCCTTTCTATTCAGAAAACATACTGTTTATGATTTGAATTCTTTCAAGGTTGATACTTGTTTTATGGCCCATTATATGGTCTGTTTTTAAAATGTTTCATGTGTGTTTACAAAGAATGTGTCTTCTGCTATTTGGTAGCTATTAGGTCAAATTGATTTATAGTATTATTCAAGTTTTCTATATTTTTTCTCATTTTCTGTCTGCTCATTCCATCAGTTTTTGACAGAGGTGTATTAAAACCTCCAATAACAATTGGAGATTTGTCTGTTTCTTCTTGCAGTTCTATTAGTTTATGCTTTATGTATTTTTAACATTCTGTTATTAGGAAAATAAATGTTCAGGACTGTTATTGATTAATCAATACTTTTATTGTTATGAAATGACTTATTTCTGATAATACTCTTTGGTCTGAAGTCTACTTTGTTTAATAATTAAAATTGCCATTGTGGTTTTCTTTCGATTATTGTTTTCTTTTTCATTTTCCATTCTGTTACTTAAATTTTATTTATTTAAGAGACTTGGTCTCTCTCTGGTACCCAGCCCTAGAGTACAGTGGCATGATGATAGCTCACTGCAGCCTTGAACTCCTGGGTTCGAGCTATCCTCCTCTCTCAGCCTTCCAAGTAGCAGAGAGTATATAGGCGTGAGCCAACACACTCAGTTCATTCTTTTGCTTTTAACTAGTTTGGATCTTTGTGTTTAAAATGCCTTTTTTCTAAGCAGCATATCATTGATTCTTTTCCTTTGAGACAAAGTCTCACTCTGTGCCCTGGCTAGAGTATGGTGATGTCATCTTAGCTCACTGCAAACTCAAACTCTTGGGCTCAGTCAGTCCTCCTGTCTCAGCCTCCCAAGTGCTGAGAGGTTTACAGGTTAGCATTACCATGCCCAGCTAATTTTTTCTACTTTTAGTAGAGATGGGGTCTTGCTTTTGTTTAGGTTGGTCGCCAACTCCTGACCTCAAGCAGTCCTCCTGCCTTGGCCTCCCAGAGTGTTAGGATTACAGGTGTGAGCCACCATACCCAGCTTTTTTTTTTTT